GGCCTCTGCCCACCGAGACGCAGTGTCCCCCCGCGGCCCTGGCCGGCCAGGCCCCGGGCGCCCCGGTGTCCTGCCAGAGCAACCTGTGCAAGGTCAGGGTGAGGATCAACAAGCACATTCCGGGCAGGTCGGTGGAGCAGTCCAGGGAGGCGCCCATCGACCTCAACTCCACCGTGCAGGTCTACTGCCCGGACTACACGACTTTCCACCAGTACTGGCAGATCTTCTCCGTGCCCTCGGTCCAGGACCAGCCCGACTGGGACCAGCCTATACACAACCCATACCTGGACCAGGCCAGGGGCAGTGACTTCCTCCACATCCCCGGATCCTACCTGCCTTGGGGGGTGTATGTGTTTAATGTCACCGTGGAGATCCTAGCCAAGGAGGACCACAAAAGGACCACAGTGACAGGCTCCGATTCCATCTACATCTCGCTCCTTAGGAGAGACCTGAAAGCCGTCCTTCTCGGAGATGCCAACCTAACCGTTCAATTCTCAGATAAGGTAGTCCTGGACGGGACCAAGTCCTCTGACCCAGACTCCCGCAGACCCATCGACCCACAGCATTTCTCATGGTATTGTACCACCCACCTAGGAAACTATGCCGGGGGCCAGGTAGCAGTGACAGCAAAGGGCGTCTGTCACCCAGAGCAGGCTAGTCTCAAGTGGCCCTGGGCCTCTGGTCGGGTGCTGACCCTTTCCCCAGAAACACTTAAAGGGGACGCCGTGTATCATTTCAGAATGGTAATACGGAAGGGTGACAGAAGGGCATTTTCAGATAAAACGATTCGAGTCCTGAGAGGTCCCACCCCCACGGCCCACATTTCCTGTCTTGAGAACTGTGACAACACGTTAGTGCTCTCTGACAGATTTTCTCTGTTTGTAAACTGCACGACTTGCTGGAGCTTGGATGTCTACACGTGGTCAATTCTGTCCTCATCAGGAGACGAGATACCATTTGATTGGATGGGGCAAACAGTGACTGGGAGGAATAATGTGTATTTGTCTATAAAAACGTTTGCCTTTGGGAATTTTCTGGAAGCTACATTTTGGGTTTCTCTCTCTCTAGCCAGTTGGAGTGGTGCAACCTTGGATTTAAAGCATTCTTTCCTGATCCACCATGGCCCTCAATTCGGGGAATGCAAAATCAACCCAACTAGAGGGCTTGCAATGGTTACCAAATTTGTGGTGGAGTGCAGTAACATTAAGACAAAACACACCCCCCTTACCTATAAAATAATAGTTTCTGATTTGGATGGAGTTGCTGAAATCAGTTCTGTAAGAGAGAACACTTTGGGGGCCATTCTCTACTGGGGGACGGAGCCCGTCACCCCCCCCTCCTATCTCCCCATGGGCATGTTGGCCAACAATTTCACCATAAAGATATTTGCTCGGGTCTATGACAACCTCCACACTTTTTCTCAGATGACTTTGTATGCCACAGTCCGGGGGCCTTTGGACAAATTCTCCCCAAAGACTGTGTTGAATCAGTTACTCAACATCACCCGGGGACCCACTTCATTGCTGTCTTCTTTACTTCAGAAGCAGAACTGGTTACCTGCTGGTTACCTCATGTATGCAGCAGCTTCTGTTTTGAATAACATGAGAAAGGAAGCAACACTGAAAGAAAGCAAAGCCGACCTCCGGGCACACCTCATCAATCAGTCTTTTGAGCTGCCCACGAGCACGTTGGATGAAATCAACCAGGTGGTGGTGCTTTTCACCAAGCTGACTCGGCGAGCTTCTGAATTCACTCGAGGGGCTCAGGACCGTGCCCTGGAGAGGGTAGGGCAGGCAAGTCAAGCCCTGCAAGAATATCAGCGAAAAGCCAAGCACTTTCACTCAGAGCAGATAGAAATCCTGAGCACTGGCGTGGTGACGAGTTTGTCAAATATCCTTCAACAGATGAACCGTTTCGAAGTGGTTGAAGATCCTTTCTATGTACTGGAATCACTATCCGACCTCATCTTGGCTACTAAAGTGCCAGGGAATGAGACCACGACGCTGAAGACCTCCAGCTTTAACCTGTATCTGGCAAAGGTGGAAAAGCAGGATGTGACCCGAGCATTCCGAAACGAGAAACACTGCCCGCACTGTCTCCACGCAACCCTGAATGTGAGCCGGATCCCCAGCTTGCCTGCCAAGGCTCCCATCTCCATCATGTTTTTCGAGTTTGCAGAAGATCCCTTCCCTTGGCTAAGTTCCCCAGGAAACATTTCCACAGAGGTGGCTGGGTTCCGAATGACTGGAAGCATGAAGAATGGCAGTGTGCTGGAGGTCACACCTGACGTGGCGGAAGTGTTCCTCCTCAGAAAAAACCTGGCCTCTGCCACGTTCAATCTCACCATGGGGCCAAGCAATGAAATCGATGGGGTCTCGAGGGTGACCACAGGGGCCTTCAGCTTCGCTGTAGACAGCAGAGAGGTGAAGGAGGTGCTGGTCCACATTGTGACTGAGGTGACCCTCCTGTTCCACGTCCTGGTGTACGCGGGCAGTCAGCTCGCCCCTACCCATCTGGCGGCTACCTTCCTCGTGCCTCCCGACATGCCACCAGTCATCAAGCAGCACGACCTGTTTGACCCAACGTGCGCCGTGAAGGAGGCCCGCGTGATTTGTCTGTCACCATCCCTGCTGCAACTGCTAGCTCAGTACAGCCGCTCGCCCAATTATACCATATCTCTGCTGCTGAAGGCTCCTCGCTTTGTCCTGGAACCCAGCAATCAGCTTGTGAGAATGTCCGTCTTCACCGTCCGCTGTCTGAACATGGACGGCATCCAGGAGTGGAGAGAGGGGGCCTGTGTGATTGGGGAGAAAACCACCTGGGACAAAGTGCACTGTGTCTGCAGGAGCTTGGGCAGGAGCAGGCGGCAGCTGGGCTCCATCAAGCTGGTCTACCGCCACCTGCATACCCACTACGTGACTGCCAACGTCATCGTGGCCCCCAACCCCGTGGATCTGCGGCTAATCGTCATCAGGAACCTTAATCAAAACCCTGTGACCCTCTTGGTGGTGCTCTTCATTATGCTAGTCTACATAGTTCTAGCTTTCTGGGCCTTGCATAGGGATGCGATGGACCAGTTTCTCAGGGACCATGTGATCATCTTGCCTGATAATGACCCTTATGATAACATCTGCTACCTGGTCACAGTCTTTACGGGAAGTCGTTGTGGGTCAGGGACCAGGGCGGATGTCTTTGTCCAACTTAGGGGCACAGAGAGTACCAGCGACGTGCATTGTTTGAGCCACCCATATTTTACAACTCTGTATGCAGGAAGCATCAACACCTTCCTCCTCACGACGAAAAGTGATCTGGGCGACATCCACTCCATCCGCGTGTGGCACAACAACGAGGGCAAGGCACCCAGCTGGTACCTGAGTCGCATCAAAGTGGAGAACGTGTTTAGCAGGCACATTTGGCTGTTCATGTGCCGCGTGTGGCTCTCCGTGGACACCACGTTGGACCAGACATTCCACGTGATCCGGCCAGATGAGCCTCTGAGTCGGCTGGACTTCTTCCTGATTGACGTGAACCGGAAGCTCGGGAGAAACCACATGTGGTTCTCGGTGTTCGCTGGCATCGTTGCTAAACCATTCAACAGGCTCCAGAGGCTGTCCTGTTGCTTAGCGATGTTGCTGAGCTCTCTTCTCTGTAACATTATGTTCTTTAATCTGAACAAACAAGAGCATGCCGAGATGCCAGAGAGGCGGTACATCAGATCGATGATGATAGGGATCGAAAGCGTCTTAATTACAATCCCCGTGCAACTACTAATCACTTTTTTTTTCACTTACTCCCAGAGGAGTCCTCAAGTGAGGCTGGAGGAGGTGGCACCTCAGAAGCAACCTTTCCTCACAATGCGAGAAGGTGAGCACTGGAGAGAGCATTTGGACAAATGGCACACGCACGAAACCACCAAGACACAAGCCGGGGAGTCCTGGAGGAGATCTTCTAGGCTTTCAAAGGATTCTCTCAAGGAGGTCTTGGAAACAAAGCCTTGGAGGAACCGAGCAGAGGCCCAGGACTCACTGGATGAGAGCGACAGTTTCGAAGAAGACAGTCGAGGTGCCCTGTCAAGAAAGCGTTCCCTCCCGGAGGATATGAAGTTTGAGAAGAAGCCCCGGATCGTCCTGCCCTGGTGGTGTGTTTACGTCGCCTGGTTCCTCGTGTTTCTCACATCTGGCGTATCTTCATTCTTCATCGTCTTCTATGGCCTGACTTACGGGTATAACAAGTCAATTGAATGGCTCTTTGCGTCAGTCTGTTCGTTCTGTCAGTCGATTTTTCTGGTGCAGCCCATGAAGATTCTCTTGATGTCAGGCTTCAGGACCAATCGGCTCAAGTATTCCAAGAACCTTTCATGGTCGAGCAAGTACCGTTATACGGAGATCCTACTGCAACAGGTGCAGCTGAGTTCCGAAGAGATGGAACAGCTACACCAGCGCATCACGCACATCCGAGGCTCCCGCATGTACCAGCCCCTCACGGAGGATGAGATCAGGATATTCCAGCGGAAGAAGAGGATCAAGAGGCGAGCGCTCCTGTTTCTGAGCTACATCCTTACTCACTTCATCTTCCTGGCTCTGCTCTTGCTCCTCATCCTCTTGCTGCACCACACGGACAGCTACTATTACAATCAGTTCATCCGCACCCACTTCTCCGTGGGCCTGACAGGTGTGACGAAGCTGAATGACATCTACAGGTGGCTCAGCAGCGTGCTCTTGCCTTTGTTACACAACGAGCAGAAGCCTACCTTTCTTCTCGACAGCTCCTCGAAAATCCTCGGCCTTCCACTCATGAGGCAAGTGAGAGCAAAACCTCACCACAAAAAGTGCCCGCCTGCCCAGATCTTGGTACAAAACGGCATTGCTGGGGAAATCCATTGTCATCCTGAGTATGGCATCGACACGGAAGACACCAAGAGCTATTCTAGCTATTGGAAAGGCGAGGGTGACCCGCCCACTGACAAGAACACCAATGGATTTACTTATAAGCCTCCGGGGAAGAAATGGGCATATTACTCCTATGGGGTGTTCAACACCTATGAATCTGGAGGATATGTGTTCTATTTCTTTCCAGAAAAGCAGCAGTTTAATTCCTCACTAAGGCTCAAGGAACTCCAAGAAAAGAATTGGCTAGATGAGAGGACATGGGCCGTGATGGTGGACCTTACCACTTTTAATCCAGACGCTGGCTTGCTCTGTAGCATTTCTGTGGTGTTCGAGGTGTCTCAGTTAGGAGTGGTCAACTCCAGCCTCTCCGTGTACTCGTTCTCACTTGCTGATTTCAACATAGAAACATCAGCAGAAATCTACCTGTACATGGCCATTCTCATTTTCTTTCTGGCCTATGTCGTTGACGAGGGTTATGTCATTACACAAGAGAGAGCCTCCTACATAAGAAGTGTGTACAACCTGCTGAACTTTGCTCTGAAATGCATCTTCACCGTGCTCATTGTGCTGTTTCTCTGGAAGCATTTCCTGGCTGTCAGCATGATTCGCTTCTACCTGGCGGATCCTGAAAACTTCATTCCCTTCCATGCGGTTTCTGAAGTCGATCACATCGTCAGGGTGACGTTGGCCTTCTTGTTATTTCTCACCATTCTGAAGACACTCAGGTATTCCAGATTCTTCTACGATGTGCGCCTGGCTCAGAGGGCTGTCCAGGCCGCCCTCCCCGGCCTCTGCCACATGGCTTTGGTGGTGTCTGTGTATCTCTTTGTGTACATGGCTTTTGGCTATCTGGTATTTGGTCAGCACGAATGGAACTACAGTAACTTGGTCCATGCCACGCAAACCATATTCTCCTACTGTGTCTCGGCTTTTCAAAATACCGAATTTTCCAGCAACAGGGCTCTCGGGGTGCTGTTCCTCTCATCCTTCATGCTGGTGATGATCTGTATTTTGATCAACTTATTTCAGGCAGTGATCCTGTCTGCCTATGAGGAGATGAAGCAGCCAGTGTATGAGGAGCCATCAGATGAGGTAGAGGCCATAGCTTACTTGTGTGGCAAGCTACGAACTACGTTCAGCTTCCTGACATCCCCATCTAGGGCGAAGGATGAACCTGACTTCTTTGACGATATGTTGTATGGACAGCCAGAAAAGAACAGCCGCCGGTACCTGGGGCTGAAGACCAGAAACATTAATGGGAAGAAAATGGTTTACCTTGTTGTTTGATGCTTGAGAGGTTCAAGAGCCATGAGCAAGAATGCCCCCCCCCAAATGCAGTGTGTGTGTGGGGGGACAAAGGGGTCTAGTGTGGTTCAGCCATGCGTACCCCCACATTTGGAAGTCATACTTTCCTGAGTGCTATTGGCTAGGCCCTCAAGGAGAGGAGGAATGTCAGGGGGAAGAGGGTCACAGTGTGGGATCTTGACTGCTTCCCTAAATGGGAACCCCACGACTGCTTTCCCGGATCTGCAGCAGCATGAAGCAGAGGGAGAGCCACAGGACTCACTCTAGCCAGCGAGGGCAGCCTCTGGCTGCTGGTAGCAGGGTCCTAGCTCCACTCCTCCATACACGGGTTGTGGAGCCTTTCTTCCCCCATTCCTACCTACTCAAAATTAGTGAGTTCCATCACTTGGCGTTGAATTTGAGAATCGAGGATGGGAGTCTTGGGGTCAGAAGTTTCTCATATATTCCCTCAGGCCGGGGCTGTCCAAGTACATGTTCCAACCAAGAGACGTGGCTTCTGTACACACAGAAAAATGTGTACAAGGGTTCATGTTGAAATGCACTGCACGTGCTCAAGCCTGGGGCCTAGGCATTTGGTGGTTGATTTAGGAATAAGAAACTGTGCTTTGATGTTCTATTTTCACCCAGAAGCAGATTCATTTGTGTAGATGCCACTTTAATTTTGATCACAATTAAAGGGAGATTTCTTCGGTCAGGTGTACAGTGATTTCTGCTTGAGAGGTGAAGCCACACATGGTGCCTGTGCCCCAAGCCAGGGGCCAGGCAAAGGGGGACAGCTATGTCAGGTAGTGGCTGCTCTGTACCCCTATCAGTACCCGGTCCCCGCTGCTGCCCTGGACTGACCGTAGTGTGCTGCTCTCCCGAAGGCCAGGACAAAAGCTTCCCATCTGTTCTCCAACACAACACAGGCAGGCTTTGTCTGCCAGGTGAGAAAATGGAGAAGGCTGCTGACTCACCCAAGGCCATTCCTCTGTAGGCTATAGCGTGTCAGAGGTCAGACCTGGAAGTTCTGATCCCTGGAAGGAGGTCACAGAGCGGCTCAGCTCAGTGTGTTGCCTGCAGTGCATATTCATCAGAAACATCCCCTTCCCCCCACCCCCAAGCTCAAGCTCAAGCTTGAACTCAGGACCTCTTACTCTAGCTTGGCTGCATGCAAACATACAAGGCTGATGCTTTACTATTTGAGTCATACCTCCACTTTTTGCTGGTTAATTGGAGATAAGAATCTCATGGATTTTTCTGCCCAGGCTGGCTTTTAGGGCTTTCCATCTTCAGCCTTCTAAGTAGTCAGGATTGCAGACACAAGTCACCAGTCCCTGGTGTACAAAGTGCCTTTTTTGTTGTTGGTGGTGGCGGTCGTGGGGTCTGAACTCTGGGCCTGGGCACTGTCTCTCAGCTCTTCAGCTCAAGGCTAGTGCTCTACCACTTGAGTCACAGGGCCACTTGCAGCTTTTCCTGCTTATGTGGTGCTGAGGAATCAAATCCAGGGCCTCAGGCATGCAAGGCAAGCACTCTACCACTGAGCCACCTTCCCAGCCCCAAAGTGCATTTCTTAACCACCTGATTTCTGAACAGACTGAGAAAAAGTAAGCATGGGCTAGGTGGCACTTGCTTCCTGGGGAGGCGGGCTGTAGTCCCCACAAACTTCAGGGTGTGGGGAGGGGAGGAGGGGGTGCAGACAGCTGCCTTAGAGGTGGTGAAGATGGCTAGTGAGGCAGAGGCCTGTGGGCTCTGTGGGGCATGCCGACCTGCTCCCCAAACCTAGAGATCAACAAACATCTCCGCTCTGTACTAGCAGTGAGGCAGACTCAGGGTGACTCTCATTGGTTAGGGGCATCAGGATGGGAGAGAGCCTGGAGCAAGCACCAGAGGTGGTCTGAGCGAGCCCAGGACAGAGACGAGGTGGCTAACAATGACTTTTTGATAGAAATGAAACTATACGATCCCAGGAAAATCAGAGGTTTCCTTTTGACTCTGGGGAGCAATAACAAGTCTTTGTAGAGGTGAGAAGCACAGATGCCAATTGTGTCATTAACAGGGAGACACGGTTATCAAAGCAGGCTTGTTGGGAAGGCTGTGAAGGATATAGCAGCAATCTGTGAAGAGGTCTTTGGAGAGTCCTTTGCTCTCACCATCCCGCCAGGAACTCTGAGCTACAGTCAGAACTATCCTCTTAGTTTTCCAGGTGACACAGGAAAGTAAGATTTTGTTGTTGTCAGTCATGGGGCTTGCACTCCGGGCCTGGGCACTGTCCCTGAGCTGTTTTACTCAAGGCTAGTACTCTACCATTTTGAGCTACAGCTTTACTTTCCATTTTCTGGTGGTTAATTGGAGATAGGAGTCTCATGGACTGGGCTGGCTTTGAACCACAATCTTCAGATTACAGGCATGAGTCACCAGCACCTGGCAAGATGTTTTGTTCTCAATTTTGCTTCTTCCTAGCTCAGGATAGCTACAGGGGACAGGGGACCTGTCCATGAATCTCAAATTCTTTGATTAACTGTGAAGACTTGCTTTTATTTATTTTTAATATGGAATGCTTCACAAATTTGCATGTCATCCTTGGGCAGGGGCCGTGCTAATCTTCTTTGTATTGTTCCAATTTTAGTATATGTGCTGCTGCAATCCTGGGGTTTTAACTGAGGGCCACAACCTTGCTCAGCTTGCTTGGTCACCTGAGTGGCACTTGAACCATGCCCCTAGTTCTGTGTTTTGTTTTTTGTTTTTTTTGAGATAGTCTGATGAGCTTTTCTGCCCCAGCTCACTTTGAACCATGATCCTTCCATTTCAGCTCCTGCAGTAGCTAGGATTACAGTCACTGGCACCCAGCAAAGACTTGCACTCTGAGCTCCTGCAGTAGCTAGGATCAGTCACTGGCACCCAGCAAAGACTTGCATTCTGAAATTCTGTTGGTTGGCACTGGAAACAATGTTGGCTTCCAGATCTTATGTCCTTCCCAGTAGTGGAGAGTGGGATGCAGCACTTACCAGGGAATGGGGGCACATAAGGAATGATTCTTCTTCAGGACTGTCTGTAATTTGTATCTTAAATGCCCCCCCAAAGGCCATGTGTCAAAGGCATGTTCCCCAGTGTGGTGCTGTTGGAAGCTGGAGGTAAGGAGGTAGGCGGTTCTGCTCAGCCACCCCATCAAGATGTTCCATCTTGCCAAAAGCAATAGGACCAACTCATTATGAGCTGGAGTCTCTAAAATTGTGAGCCAAGACAAACCTTGTCTATTTTTAGGTTGATTTTCTATAGTAGCACAAAGCACACCCTCTTTTGTAACTATAAGCAGTAATTTAGTTTGTGTGTTTGTGAGTTGTGGGTCTTGAATTCTGGGCCTGAGCATTGTCCCTCAGCTCTTCAGCTCAAGGTGAGCGCTCTCCCACTTGAGCCACTTCCGGTTTTCTGGTGGTTTATTGGAGATAAGAGTCTCATGGAGTTTCCTTCCTGGGCTGGCTTTGAACTGCAATCCTGAGATCTCAGCCTCCTGAGTAGCTAGGATTATGGTGAGCCACCGACACCCAACTGATTTTTTTTTTTTTGGCCAGTCCTGGGGCTTGAACTCAGGGCCTGGGCACTGTCCCTAAGCCTCTTTTGCTCAAGGCTAGCACCCTACCACTTGAGCCGCAGCACTACTTCTGGCTTTTTCTGTTTATGTGGCACTGAGGAGTAGAACCTAGGGCTTCATGCATGCTAGGCGAGCACTCTACCACTAAGCCACTTTCCCAGCCCATTATTTAGATTTGATTTTATTCAGTTCTTTTCAATGCTCTGATTTCCTTCTTATTCTTAACCTAAAAATGCCAAGTACAATATTTGTTCAGTATTTTGATAATCTTTAAGACCACGTAACTATTCTCACCACATTTAGACAAATTTTCTCAGCTCACTCCTAACACCTCTGGGTCACTTTTTTTTTTCTTTAGTAAACTTGTAGGTAAAGAACTCGTTTTTGCATGGGCTTGCCTCACACTTATTTTTTTTTTTTTTGGTCAGTCGTGGGGCCTGGGCGCTATCCCTCAGCTCTTCTGCTCAAGGCTACCACTTGAGCCACAGCGCCACTTCTGGCCTTTTCTGCCTATGGGGTGCTGAGGCATCGAACCCAGGGCCTCATGCGTGCCTTCCCAGCCCCTGACACTGAGCTTCCCATGTATCAGGGATCACGGTTCGGCCATGCACCGCCTCGCCCGGCTCGCTTACTGAGGTCACCGTGGTCTTCCCGCTCTCCTCCCGCGCAGCGCCCCGGGAGGTGGGGCGCACGCGGGGCCGGCCGCAGGCCCGTCTCCACCGACGCACGGGGGGACCGGGGCCAGACGCCGAGGCGGCCCGGCCCGGCGGCTGCACCCCGGGGACACCCGCGGGGAAGCGAGCGGGTCCGCGCGGCTCGAGCGGCGCCCCAACCTGTGTGCGTTCGCCGGGAAAAGCCCAGCGGCCTCGGAGCCCCTTCCACGCGAGCCGGCCCCCGGGTCCGCCCCGCAAGCGGCGGTCACAGCCCAGAGGGAAAGCGCGGCGGAAGCGGAAGTCTTCGTGAAGACCCGCCCTCCGGCAAGCCTGCGCCTGCGTGCGGGACGGTGCAGGCCGGAGCAGAGGGGCGTGGTCGCGCAGGCGCCGTGGAACTCGGGCCTGTGTTCCCGCTGGTGGCGGTGAGTGGCGGCGGCCGTGGCGGGAACGAGCGCGTCGGGAGCTGGCGCGGCGCTCCGCGCGGTCCCGGCGCGGCTCGGCGCGGGCGTGCGGCTCGGGCGCGCTCCCGGGGCCGGGAGGGCTGGCGGCGCGGGCCCTGCGGCGTCCGGGGCGGGAGGCAGCGCGGCTGGCGGCGGGCGGGGCCTCGCGATGCCGAAGGGGGAGCAGCGTGGGCCTCGCCCACATCCACAGGCCCTTCAGCCGGAGCCGGGCGCCGGACGCTCCCGCCTGTCATCCTAGCCACTCCGGGGGCTGCGATCTGAGGACCGCGGTTCGAAGCCAGCCCGGCAGGAAAGCCTCGCAGACTCGTCTCCAATGAACCATCGAAAAGCCAGGAGTGGAGCTGTGGCTCAAGTGGTAGAGCGCCAGCCTTGAGCCGGAGAGCTCAGGCACAGTGCTTAGGCCCTGAGTTCAAGACCCAGTATCGGCGCGCGCGCGTGCACACTCAAGCGCGCGTGCACACTCGAGCACTCTCAAGCGCGCGTGCACACTCAAGCGCGCGTGCACACTCAAGCGCGTGGGCACTCAAGCGCGCGGGCACTCTCAGGCGGGCGTGCACACTCGAGCACGCGAGCACACTCAAGCGTGCGTGCACACTCAAGCGGGCGTGCACACTCGAGCACGCGAGCACACTCAAGCGTGCGTGCACACTCAAGCGTGCGTGCACACTCAAGCGCGTGTGCATTCTCAGGCGGGCGTGCGCACGCGAGCACACTCGAGCGTGCGTGCACACTCAAGCACGCGTGCACACTCAAGCGCGGGGGCACTCAGGCGGGCGTGCACACTCGAGCACGCGAGCACACTCAAGCAGGCTTGCACACTCAAGCGTGCGGGCACTCTCAGGCGGGCGCGCACACTCAAGCGCGGGCACTCTCAAGCGCGCGGGCACACTCAGGCGCGCGTGCACACAGACGATGTCGGGAGGACCCCGCGCTTGCCTTGTGGGAACTGCCGGCTCATCCTGCGGGATGGGCGGAGGAGGGCCTGCCGGGAGCCCGCCCATGGGGTTGTGTCTTAACTTGGAAAGCGAAGTAGAAATGCTGGATAGGTGCGGGAGGGGCACCACTGGGCCAGCAATGAATGGAAGGGCCGATGGGACCTTGGCGCAAGGTCTGGGGAGAGTTCTCCCAGAAGACCAGATGCAGGCAGGAGTTTTAGTGTGATGTGCCCCAGATACACCACATGGGCCAAGGGGAGGGTGTGGGAAGGACAGAGGGCAGAGCCAAGGGGAAGTTTTCCTGGTGGTGAAAACCTGGAGGAGGAGGTGGTTGTGGCTCAGGTGGGGTCTGTCGGGATCCTTCTTCCCAATGGAACAGGAGAGCTCTGGGTAAATTTAGGGTAGTGAAAAGTGCCCTTTGGGCAAGGGGCAAGCCTGTGGGAAGGGGGAAGAAGAGGGTGACCTGGGGTAGGGGGAAGAAGCCTGTCTGGAGCCTTTCTTGGTACCCAAGATTCCTGGCAGGGCCTGACGTGCAGGGGCCTGGGGGCCTGCCCAAGCCTAGGCTGGACGGGGACATTAGGACACTGTGAAACTGGCCCTTTGTGACAAGCAGCTGCACCTAGACCTAAAGCTGAGGGTGGAGCAGATTTTGAGAAAATCTCTGGACAAACCTCACTCTTAAACAGAGGCAATGCTAGAGAACTTAGAAGCCAGGGCTGCCCCGAGGGTGACACTAGCAAGTAGGTCCCAAACCTGCGCCTACCGCTCACCACTGCTAATTCAATATGGCAGACCAGGCCCGTGCCAGTGATGACATAGATGCTGGCTTACCTCTGCCACCTTGCAGAGAAGCCCAGTGACGAATCAAGACATACAAAAAAAGCACACCCACTGTGATTACAACATCAATAGAAGAGAAATCAGGGATCAGATGGGGAGTTTGAAAGAAGCGTGATGAATATCTCAAGCCTCTGGTGAAAGATACATACTATGCAGAAACGGATGGGGACGCCAATAACATGGCAGTGGACAACGTGGTCTGTCAATGTTACATAGTCATGGGAAAAATCAATGAACTTGAAGATAGTTCTGTAGAAATTAACTAAATGGAATCACTGAAGAGTGAATTCACCAGAATAGAGTGTCCTAGAACTGGAACAAAATCAAGTGGTGCAACAATGTATTTGCAAATGAATCTCAGCAGAAAGGAAGAAAGAAGGAATAGTTAAACTTTCCAAAAAATAATGAAAATATCAAACCATAGATTAAAAAATTTAAGCCAGGTTCTGGTGGCTCACGCCTGTAATCATAGCTACTCAGGAGGCTGAGATCTGAGGATCATGGACCAAAGCTAGCTTGGCAGGAAAGTCTGTGAAACTCTTATCTCTAATTAACTAATTGAAAACCAGAAGTGGCGCTGTGGCTCAAAGCGGTAAAGCACTAGCCTGGAGCAAAAAGATCTCAGGGACAGCACCCAGGCCTCCAGTTCAAGCCCCACAACTGACAAAAAAAGAAAAAAAAGAATTGGAGGCTGTGGATGTTGGTCAGTGGTAGAGTACATGCCTGGGATTCAATCCCCAGAACCCCACATAACAAGAGAAAGATTGAGAAAAGCAGGATAAATTTTATTTAAAATTTGTTTTACTGTTATTATAAAGGTGATACACAGTTATTATTTTTATTTTGTCTGTCATGGGGCCTGAACTCTGGGCCTGGGCACTGTCCCTCAGCTCTTCAGCTCAAGGCTGGTGCTCTACCACTTGATCCACAGTGCCACTTCGGCTTTTTCTATTTATGTGGTGCTGAGGAATTGAACCCGGGGCTTCATGCATGCAAGGCAAGCGCTCTACCACTGAGCCACCTTCCCAGCCCCTTAATGTATTTGTTTTACAGTAGAGATTCATTGTGACATTTTCATACATACAGTGGACCTTCATCAAACTAACCCCTTCATCTCTTTCTCACAGCAGGTTTCATTGTTTTATGTTCATACATGGGTATACAGTTCTTTAACTTTATTCACCCTCATTTACCCTCTGCATCACCTACCTTCTTGTCCTTACCACCCAACAGCCTGTGTTTATTTTCCTTTGACGTACTAATTTGCGTATTGTACATAGGGGTTTTGCTCTCATCTGTGTATTAGATTAGCCTTACCTATTTCTCTCTTCCCCTCTTCCCTCTGGTTCCTGTTGTTCAGTAACTCAGTAAGCTTCCTTAGGCTCTCTTCATATATACACACCATGTAGGACAAATTACTTTGAAGAAAAAACTAGCTGTCACAGACACATTTACACTTCTGGAAGCCAAGGAAAAGATCTTCAGGGTGGTGAGAGAACTCTTAAGGGCAGAGGTGAGGGGTAGCCTTCCGGGTGGAAGAATCAGCAGGAGAAGACGCCAGGAGGTCCAGTGTCCAGGGCAGGTCAGCTGAGTGAGAAGCGAGCCCCTAGGACCACTTCCAGTTCAGCATGCTCTGGGAAACGGTGGCACCCACACCCAGTGGGCCTGTATCAAGGAGAAGTTTCTTTCTCTGGTCAGTTGGGGAGCGGCTTAGATTTATCTGAGAAAGTAGGGCTCACCTTCCCAGCACCACCTGCAGCCTTGAGTTTTGTGAAATTCTGAAGGTGAGGCACCCTGTTTCTCTGCAGATGGCATCTGAGGCGGAGCGCCCTCCACTGGGCGTGTTTGAGTGCCAGCTCTGTGCCCTGACGGCTCCCTACAGCTATGTGGGACAGAAGCCCCCTGACACCCAGTCTGTCATGTGAGTATGCTCTGGGCCAGCGCCTGGGAAGGCACAGGCCCAAGTGCCCAGAGCCGTTTGGCAGGCCCCAGCCTGCACCTGCCATGCGGTTGGGTATATAACGCCTAATCCTGTCCCTGCCTGGGCTCTGTGTGACCAGAGGAGACCCTGGGCAGGGCTCAAGGGCTGTCTGGCTCTTGGGACCCCCCCGTGCTTCCCTCTGGGCAGCCCGAGTTGGCACCTGGCGGGTAGAAGAGCATGGCCTAGGCTGCCACTGCCTAGCAAGCGGGGAGCAGAGGAGCATGGTGGTCTCGTGTAGGCCTGGGCCTCGCTGCCGTCCCTGTAGGTGACTTTGACAGAACGCCTCTAGCGTAGGTGGGAGTGAGGCCTGAGGGCCGACTGCCCAGTGATGCCGGAGCAGGAGCAGGCCGGTGTGGGGCTGGCCCGGGCGTGCCCGCACCCAGCTTGGTCTTCATCCAAACCGCGTGAGGAAGCTGACTGGTGCTGGTGGCGCGATATCAGGGGACATGGCGGAGGGGATGTGATCGCTGGGGATGTGGCGGCTGGGGGCGGGGGTGGAGGGAGTGATGATGGCGGGGGGGGGGGGGGGGGGAAGTGGGTCCAGGGCTTGCAGGCCAGCTTCATCCCTTGCTGACACTGAGCCAAGGCCAGGACCCCATTCAAGTCTCACCTCATCCCCAGCACTGGTCTGTCTGTCACGACCCTGCAGCTCAGGTGGGCTTGTGCCTCCCACACTGAGTCCCGCAGACGTGCCGGCCCCAGAGATGCCCTGGCCTCCCACACAGCCCCAACCGAATGTCCTGCTGTGATGGTGGGTGTCCATCGCTGGCCTTCCTTCCTGCAGCCTCCTGGAGGAGAGCTATATCATGAAGGACCCCTTCACCACGGACAAGGGCCGCTTCTTGGTGCTTGGGGCACGGTGCAGCGTGTGTAGCAGACTGGTGTGCGCGGGCCCGGTGGGTACACAAGGCAGTGCCGTGGGCTGCCTGTCCTGGGGTGGGGTGGGGGTCTGGGAGCCCCTGTCACCAGCCTGGAGAGGGCCACCATGGCGAGGGCTGGCGAGGCCAGACAGCGACAGGCTCCGGTGAGAGCTCAGCCTGTGGCGAGGAACAGAGCCAGGTTGTGAAGAGTGTCTATCTGCCTCAGGGCGTGGAGCACATGGCTGGCAGGGGGGTGGGGGGGGGGAGGGGGCGGGGGGGGCAGCGGGGGGCAGCGGGGGGCAGCGGGCAGAGGTGGAGGGAAGATGGAAGAAGACATTTGAGGCACCCAGGGAAGCAGCCAAGAAGTCAGGCAGGAAAGGTGAGGCCAGGCCAGCAGCTGAGCAGCCCTGAACGCAACAGCTTGGGTTTGGTCTGCGGTGGCTGGGTACTCGGACCACAGAAATCCTTTCTCTGATCAAACATCAGGCTCGGGGGGGGGGGGGGGTCTGCATGCCGAGGTTTGCTTTTAGGAACTGCAGGAAGGGCAGCCTCGTATTGGTTGGCATATGCTTTAAGCTCCCAGACAGAGGCCCCTGAAATAGAGTGGCTTAAATCAGACACACTTAATGTTTGCTTCTCCATACCTGCTTTTGCTCCGTGAAGTAAGTCTGTATTTCAGGGCTCTGGCTGTAGCTCCCACCATCCCATCTGCATCCCAGCCAGCTAGAAAGGACAGGGGAGCACATCCCTGTCCCTCTTAAACAAGTGGCCCAGAGATAGCACACCTAGCTGCAGTGACCCCTGATCAGACCTAATCACATGGCAGTTCACAGCCACAAAGGAGTCTGGGTAGCAGTCAGCCCCACTGTTGGGGAAGAGAACGGGCACAGATGGACAGTTCTAGCCTGCTGCCCACACTGGACACTTGTCCGTGCTTCTTTGGTCTGTGGGGCTGTCCTTCCTGTCCCGCTGTGATATGTGGGACTTGGAGGACCTAGGATTTCCAATTTTGGGGGTGGCCTGGGCCTGAGCTTGGCTGTCTCTGTTCTCATGGTGGGCCAGGCCAGGCCAGAGCCTTGGTTCCTTCCCGGCTGGTCACTGGCCATTTCTTAGCATCCCTGGGCCCTTCTTCCTCTGCTGGTCTGGCCACCAGCCCCGTGTGGTGAAGGGCTGGCCCTCGGAGTCAGCGCCATGTAGCCAGGGGCCAGCCCTTCCTCCTCCTGCAGGAATGCAGCTTATTCTACTCCAAGAGATTCTGCCTCCCATGTGTCCGGAAGAACATTGGCGCGTTCCCGCAGGAAATCCAGCGAGACACGGAGACAAGGACAGCCGCCTCCAAGAAGCCCTCCAGTCGGCCCTGACTGTGGATGTGGCCTGGGGCTGGCCTTCCCCACTGCTCTGTGAGCGCCACCTCCAGCCTGGGAGGCTGTAGGTGGACTGGAGGACACTCAGAGACAGACATCAGGCCAGGGAGTGCAGCCACAGCGGCAGGGCTGCCCCCAGGGCAAGGCCTGCAGGACGGAAAGCCTCTTCCTCGCTCAGTTACAAGGCCAGCCATGCTGGGGCAGCACAGCCTGGGGCAGGCTGCCCGGTCACCGCCATGTCCTCTCTCCAGGAAATCAGCATCCATTGCCTGCGCTGGAGCCAGCTGCAGGACTGGAGGCAGAAGTTTTCATTAGAATCTGCATTTGAGGCTTGGGAAATGCTCTACATCTTGACCACGTGTTGCATTTATCAATAAAACCCCAAAGAACCAGTTGTGTGTGGGAATCCTTTCACGGATACATACCCCAGCATTCCCTGCCCCCCCTGTGGCCTGGGCAGGGCTTGGGGGCTTCATTGGGCAGGCAGCAGGCAGGCCCTAGAAGCTGAGGTGGGTGTCCAGCCATTTTGGCTCTTCTGGCTGCCTTCAGGTCAGGCCCCTTCCGTCTCTTGCTCTCCGGTCAGGACCTAGGAGGCTTCCTCCCTTGCAAGCTCTTGCTGTCTGATTCTCCCGCTGTGAAGCCCAGCCTGCAGCCTGCTGGGTGTCCTGTGGCACCCCGCCCCTGCAGCATGGGTGCCAGGGGTGAGGTCACCATGTGTCACTTAGCGTTGGCAGACGCTGGAGGTGTAGTTTTGCTTTGTAGTTACTGGGGGGGGGGCCGGGGAGGATGGATGAGGAGCTGCTTCTGACTATGGAGTTTTTAAGATACCTACATTTGAGCTGGCAGCTGGTGGCTCACCCCTATAATCACAGCCCCTCAGTAGGCTGAGATCTAAGGATCAAGGTTTGAAGTCAGCCCATGCAGGAAAATCTGTGAGACTGTGATCTTCAATTAACTGGCTAAAAGCTAGAAGTGGAGCTGTGGCTCAAGTGGTAGACCTCCAGCCTTGAGCAAAAAAGCTAGGGGACAGTGCCTGGGCCCTGAGTTCAAACCACAGTACTGGCACACAAAACAAAACCAAAGCTTCTTATTGCCTGTACCTTAGATGCAGGGATGTCACATTTAGGGCCACGCTGTCCCACATCCTTTCTATAAAGAGAGAGACCTGCTTAGGCAAGGGCAGGCCAGCACAGACTGCAGTGGGGTGCAGGTCTGTGTCAGCATTACCCAAAACTCACCACATAATTTCTAAAAATAGTTTATTTGTTTTTATTATTTTAAAACCATTAAGGCAAAACTGTACCCTGAAATTAACTCTTTACATTCATCAGTCTTACAGTGGACATTCCCGGCACATAAATTCTCATAAATCCAGGATATAAATCAATACATCCAGTCCAACTTCCTAATAGGAAAAGGAAGATCCAAGATTTAAAAAAGAAAATTAAGGTTATATCAAAGCCATTTTCTAGTTGCCTGGGAACCAATCAGTTAATGTAACTAGAAAAATTACCTTTGCCCTCTGTGCAAGGTCCTAGGCACCCCATACCTGGACAGAACTGGGAGGATTGTAAAGACACTGGAATAGACTCATATGCTGATGGGCACTTCTCTGCTCACTGATGAAGGACTGAAAGCCCCCTCATGCTCTGAGACAGTAAGGCACCAAGGACAGTGAAGGAGCTGGGGGAACCAAGCCCAGTCCTTGCTCTGGGGACCTGCATGTTCTCATGGCTTTCAAGACTGTCAACCCTAGGGTTTTAGCATAATGACACTGGTTCCCAGAGGAAGTTACAGAGACTCGTCAGGAAGAAATTTGGCACAATACTGGGAATGAGGGATGAGGGCCTCAGGGGTCTGTGGTCTGCTTCATGCTTTGTGCTGGCCATTGGGAAGCTGCCAGAGAACCAGCAAGTGCAAATACTTTCCATCCAAGAGTTCCGATTCTAGAAGTTCTTTGGTAATGACCATAGGTGATAATTCCCTGAAGAGCATATTAACTGAAGAGCTGCTAACTAAACAAGAATAGTTCATAGTCCTGATCAGAACACTGTAGTAGAAGTCAGTGGCCTCTGGCATGGGTCTAGGAATGCCCAGTGGGCAGAAATAAGGCAAGGCAGACTGGTGCTTGTGGCATGGAAGTGTGGTAAGGGAAGGGATTAGCACGTTGGAAGTAGGTAGCGTGTGGCTCAGGAGACAGACACGACCAGTTGGGACTGTGCATGCACACAGGCAGTTACATTTCAGTTTATCTCCGCTTCCTTTGACTCTAGCAGACTCAAGAGCCAGCCTTTTTACATCCTCAACAATGAACACTGACCTACAAGATTCCAGATATTTGTTATTAGAGGCATTAGTCAACTATTTGCATTAGGAGTCTTAAAAAAAAACCCAATCACAGTATTTAAGATATGGCTATTTACGTAACTTTTTCCATTAGTGTAAAAATGTAGTAGTACCAACACAAATAATACTGTCGTTTTAACCAGAAAGGGTACTAAAGCTGAAGCCATCTACTGTGAGGTACCTTTCGTCTTGGGCCTGAAAAAAGACTGTGCCTTTAAAAAAAGAAGAAGAGAAAAAAACAACCCTCTACGAAAGTGACCACTTTGCCAGGAAAAGACTGTTTACTCACTGGTCTTCAGGCCTTGTAAGATTTGAGGCAGAGTTTGGGGCCTGAAAAGATGCCCAAGAGCGCCCCCTGCAGGCCTGGCCTCAGTACTTCTAAGAGGCAATGATGTGGTTGGTGGGCTGGCTTGTGCCCCAGCAACGATGCTGGACCTCTACCTCAGATGACAGAATTTGAGGCTGGGTGCAGGGGAAAGAAGGGCAAGAGAAGAGGAGGTTGGTAGAGTCCCTTCTGTAGAGGGAAACATGGAGGTTTTCAATGTTTGACCCACATCGGTAAACTTGAACATCAAAACCAACCAAGATTTACCTGGTGTTAATTTTGCATGATCAAAAACTCAATGTTTCTCATTTGTTTTTGCAAACGTTTTTGCTAACGATGGGGCCACGGAAGTACTAGAGACCGGCTGCTCCATGCAGATACATGCTGGTGGGGATGCAGTGTGGTCTGCTCTGGTTGGCAGCAGCTTCCCCGTGTGTGGTGGGTGCAGGACCCAGGGTCGGGATGCCTGGTTGGAAATGCCAGGATACAGGAGGAGGGCCATGCAGCCAGAGCCCTTGGTGGTGGAGAGGCTCACCTCCAGCTTCCACTCCCGTCCCTTCACGGTAGGCAGCATGAGAGGCCAAGGCTGCCCGGTCATTTTGACATCTCTGAGAGTCTGGCACTTCTGCTGCTGCCCACTGAGCAGAAGCTGGTTAAGTTGGCTGGTTAATTCACTGCTGGCGGAAGGGCCCACATGAATATGGCTTAGAACCCCATCTGGGGAATCTAAAAGCCCACCAACCTGTTGTGATATTGTGTGTGGGGAGGGGGTTGTTTTGCTGTCGGCTGACACTTAGCAAGCAGCAAACTTGCTTGAATGGCTCCTATTTGAAATGCTTAAGCATTTGGCACTGGGGTGTAACCAGCCTGTGCTGGGTTATTGCTACCCTGCAAAGTCTTTGATTAAGTGCCTCAGAATATTCTAGCACTGAGTGGCCATGAGTGACTTGGATGGTTAGATATCTGGGATGCCGGATTTCCTTCCCATTGGTGGACGTGAAAGAGGCCACGTGGCTCTCAAGCTGAGGGGGTCACCGGGTGTCTCCTGGGCCCTGGGAGAACCACGTGTGAATGCTGGTGGGCTGGTGCACAACCTGGAAGCCAGCTTGGCTGTTCCTGCTGAAAAGCAAGGAGGCTATGTCGTGCAAGATTTATGAAATTTAAACAGGGTGAACGGCTGCCCAGCAGCCCCGGTCTGGAGGCCTGCTTTCCAAGGCCACACGCGTGCAGTCGAACTTGTCCAGAGCACATCAGAGCGAGGAGCTGTGTGGCAGGGGGGCACCAGAGACATGGATTTGGAATCCAGCTCTGCCCCAGGCCTTGGGCCATCCCAGCCTTGGATCTCCTCAGTGTTCACGTTCTTTTTGGAGGAAGGAATACAGAGATGGATGCACTGTGGGATGCAAAGGGTAGCTTCCTGAATGAGGGTGATGCTTGTTGGGGTCCTATATGGAAATACTTGGCTCTGTTCCGACTCCTGAAGACTGTCTACTTGCCTGCTGCTGCTGCTCAGAAGACCCTTTGAGTAGATTGGGAGGATCACAGTTCAAGACCAGCCCAGGAAAAAAGTTTAAGAGGCCTCATCTCAGCCAATTTATAAAAAAGGTTTGGATGAAGTAGAGGTGTGGCTCAAGTGGTAGAGTGCCAGCCTTGAGTGAAAAAGCCAAGCAAGACTGAGAAGCCCTGAGTTCAAGCCCCAGGACTGGCACATAAAAAAAATGCGTCGTGTGGTGGCACAGAACTATCATCCCAGCTGCAGAGGAAATGTAAGTAGGAGGATTACACTGCAGGCCATGGCCTGGCCTGAACCTGAGACCCTATCAAAAAGAGAAAGAAGAACATGCTTGTAGGTGTGGCTCAAGTGGTAGAGTGTCTACCTGAGTTCAAACCCCAGTACTACCACACACACAGTAATTAGCCATGAATTGTACAGTTAGTAAAAAGGATGTCCTAATCCTAATCCTAATCCTCATTTTATGTTTTCAGTGCAAAGTCTCCCAGTGCTGCTGTCCTTTGTTCCGTCTCAGGACCATTATCAGTGCCAATCCTGACCTTTAACCGCCAACAAAGACCTCTGACACATCCTGTGGCTCATGGGGAGAGCTGGCATGATCTGTGCCGGCCTGGCAGGAGGGGCTGCTGACACTCTCCATGCAGCAGCTGATCTAGTGTACAGGTGCTAGACAAGCAGCCAGAATCTGCCTTGCTTCATTGCATCGAGGTTCAGATGTTGATGTGTAAGTATAAAACTAGTATTTTAGATGTTGAAAAAACTGCCATACATATCTACTGAGATACGGAGACATAACCGTCTGGACTTTGATAGACAGAAAGAAGCTGCCAGTGAGGGACATCGCACCGCCTCTCCCGCCCCTAGGAGACGAGCCCCACTCTGCCTGGGGGACAGGGTTTTGTTTTGTTTGTTTCCTTTTTTTAAGTATATTTTAAAAAGTGATACAGAAGCTGGGAGCCAGGGGCTACACCTGTAATCCTAGCTACACAGGGCGCTGAGATCTGAGAATGACTATTTGAAGCCAGTCCAGGCTCTTATCTCCAATTAACCAGCAAAAAGCCATAAGTGGAGCTGTGGCTCAAGCGGTTGAACACCAGTCTTGAGTGAAACAGCTGAGTGACAGCAATCAGGCTCTGCTTGAACCCCAGTACTTCCTGCCCCCACCCCCCAAATGACAAAGGAACTGCCCAAAAGAGCCTGGGTGACATTTACAGAGCATGTGTTAGTTTGTCACGCCACCAGCGGTCCCAGGGGCTCTGCTCAGGGCCCGCAGGGAGCGGGGAGGATTGAAGAGGGCATGGAGGAGAAGGCTCCTTTTCTCAGTGCTCACCAAATACTGCCTTCACCATACAGAGGGAATTTGAGATCGAGTTTGCTGGGATCTCACAAACCAGGAAATGGCCTTTTCCATGTATTTACTTACAGCCACCACAGCAGTGAACTGAGACACCAGAGCAGTGGGGCTACACTCTGACAGTTCAGCCAACTGTTAATGAAAATCCTCAGTCCTATGATTAAAATAAAGAAGCACATTGTCTTCCTATAGATTCAGGAAACTACTAAAGCCTTCCAAATAAATATCTTTTTTTTTCTGTTATAAATATAGCTAACCTTTGGATACATCTATGTTTAAAGGATCATAAAGGAGGTTAAAAAGTGCTGATTAGTTTTCCAAATTATTAAGGAGCACAACAGCCAGAGGATGAGAAGGGGGAGACCACGTGCTTGCGAGACCATGTGCTTGCTTTGAGGTTACCTGTTAATTAAGTGGCAAATGTGATATAAAGAAATGTGCGTTGATTAACATCGGGCCAGTTGAAATCAGGCCGTGGATTGGCGCTGTTCCTAACTTTCCCAGCACTGGCACCAGACAGCACCTACACCCTCAGAACTATGCCGGCCAGCGAGGCCTCCGGTACCTGCTCGGCCCTCCGGCTCTCCAGGCTAACGTGGTCACGTGGAGCAACTCCGTGCTGCTCCCATTTCACTTTGTAGTCCTAGGGAGGTGGCAGCGGCCGTGCTTCTAGAAGAACTCAGTACATGTCCTTGTAGATCTCCTGGAGCAGCGGGTGCAGCGGGGCCTCAGACTCAGTCTTTTTGATGACCTGCACTAGCTGCGCATGCTCTGTGACCAGCTGCCGGAGGTCCACCATTTTTTGAAGCAGTTTTGGGAAGAGAAAGGTATCATCCGGATGGTTGCTCTGCAAATGAAGCTTGAGCACGTGCACAATTCCCTCCTGCAGCTTCTCAATGTAGCCAATGTTGAGAAGGCCAGGACGATCTGGACTCAAAAGAAGAGAGAGTGTCTGATGGAGACGGCTGGTCAGCCTCACCAGGCAGACCTCCCTGCTTTGCCCGGCTTTCCCCGTGACAGCCCGCAGCCTTCGGACCCTGCCAGCCTGGCTACAAGACAGACCAAGGTTTGCCCACAGGCCTGAGGACCGAGCGGGATAGCCAGGATCGATTCCTTGCTACATCTTTGCACAGCCAGGCCACAGGACCACCTCAGTCTCCCTGAAGCGTGGCCTCTCATTGTGGATTTCCCCCGGGACCACCCCAGGACCACGAGGAGTAGCCGCACGTTCTGACACCGTGGCCACGACTCCGCTGAGTGCGGCGCATGAAGGAGCGTGACTGTGAGACTGGGCTGGGTGGCTCCTGCCACAATGGCAGGTCCCTTCTGTCGTGGGAAGGAGTGGCCTGGGGCGCGCGCTGGCTGGACTGAGTGGGGAGGGCGGCAGAGGAGCCGCTTCCCGCCTGGGGCGTCCTGAAACCCTCTCAGGCTGTGGGTCCTGGTTCTCGGCCCCAAACCTTCTGCCCGTCCCCCGCCCCACAGCTGGCAGCATGCTCCCTCCAGCACCCTAGCCACCGCTGTGACTTTCACGTGTTGCCGTGATCTGAGTTCTGTCTGCATTGTTGCTGGTTGTGAAATACATAAGCACTAAGGTGGTGGTGTTTTGGGGCTGGTGCTGTGGCTTGAGCTCAGGGCCTCAGGCTCTTGCTTGGCTTTCACTTAAAGCTGGAGCTCTACCACTTGAGACATACGACCACTCTGGGTTTTTGCTAACTGGAGATAAGAGTCTCATGGACTCTTCTGCCCAAGCAGGCTTCGAACTGCGACCCTCAGATCGTAGCTTCCTGAGTAGCTGGGATTACAGGCAAGAACCACCAGTTCTCAGCTAGTACTAAGTTTGAAAGAGATTTTTCTTAAATTTAGAAACTCCTCCACTCCTAATTTTACCCTACTGGGCAATTTTTCTGTCTACAGAGTTTACACAGGATTCTGTGGTACAGAATAACACTGAACTTGCTTTATAACCTTTGTGCTGTGTCTTGATCCTATGAAAAGGACAATGACAAATGATTTGTTGCCTTGCTCTCTCATACTTTATGCTGGAGTATGGCTTCTTCTGTCTGACTAGGGCTCAGCCAGATGGTAGGAAACAGGGACACAGAACACAGGCTGAGGGAGGCACAGAGGACAGTGTGTCTTCTGGTAGAGGGTGGGCACGGCCACCATAAGGCTCCACCAAGGCGGAGCAAGGACGCTGAGCTTACAGTAGGCGAATGACCTTCCTGGACCTGAGGTGGCTATTTAAGGAAACGCAACGCCGAGCCAGAGTTCTGGGGAACAGAGCCAGCGTGAGCAGAGAGGCCCGGCTCTGTCTCCTCTGGCAGGGTGAATCTTAGGATTGCTTCCAGAGGGGCCAATATTTTTCATTATGACTTAGAATAATTATAGCCAGCAGTGGTGGTATTATGCTAACACTAGTATGGTACTTTATGACATCCTATCGGAAGTGTAGATATGATATAATAATATTAATAGTATGAGACTATAGTGTGTTGAAATTAGAATATATTATATTACATAGTTATGTACTATGATATACTACACAGTTACGTACTATGATATAGTACATATAGTACAATACAATTCTCATAACTACAATATAGTACATATACTATACTAATCAGAATAATATATAGTAATACTAATATATAATACTAATTGCAATGCTAATTACAATGTATTGTAATTATTCTAATACTAATTCTATATTGGTAATACTAGTTCATCTACTATTAGATGTAATAGAAATGGAGTTTAAGTAGCAATTGTAAATATATACATAATGTATACATGTGTTTATATATACATTAGCAACATACATTCTACTATACAATATGAAAGCAGTTCTCACTTAATTCTACCCTGTGGCAACTCAGGTTCAGCCGTCTCCTTACCTACCGGTGCCCACTTGACTGTAACGGAGCCCAGGTTGGCACCGTTGTGACAGTTGCGAGTTCTTCAAGAGCGGAGCCTGTAGGAGACCTGACACGGGCAGATTAAATCAAGCACTTACCTCCACAGCAGATTATAGCAGCCACAAACAGGGAGATATCACTGTCGTCCAATTCCAGTGCGTTGAACTTCATGGCAAAGTCAAACTTGGGCTCCAGGATGTCGCAGAAAGGTTTCCTGAGGGTTTTCAGGAATTCCCGAGTTATAAAGCCGCTGCCGTATGCCACCAGCATCCCGTCCTTGTTCATCAGAGAAGAGAGCATGGTAAAGATGGCCTCGTACACGCCGTATTTGAGCAACGTGACTTGGTCATTCAGGTCCAAGTTTGCAAAGCCTGGGATGGCCTTGGCGAATTCTGTGAGCTCCGTGACTGTCTCCACTGACATGCACTGGCAGCAGTGGAAGATGCGGACGCCGACCTCCTTGTTTTGAATGCCGTTGGCCAACATCTTGGCCACGAGTGTCTTCTCGGCCATGCACAAGGTCTCCATGTCGTGGATGACAAATGGCTACAAAGAAAGGGGCTCCCATCAGCCTGGGGCAGAGCACTCTGATATCTCTGTTACCTGCAGATTCACAAGCAGCTACTGTGTCCAAACCCCCAAGTCCATGCTGTAGAGAATTCAAATGTATACCGAATACAGTGCTCACTGTGGAGAGCTAACAGGATAGGCCAGTAAGGTAAAGACTGACAAACCAGGAGAATGGTGCTCACGCCTGTAATCCTAGATACTCAAGAGGCTGAGATCTGAGGACTGAGGTTCAAAGCCAGCTTGGGCGGAGAAATCTCCAGTTAACTACCAAAAAAGCCAGAAGTGGAGCTGTAGCTCAAGTGGTAAAGCACACACACACACACACACACACACACACACACACACACACACACACACACACATACACGAAGGCAGCAATTAGAACACTTCACACAAAAACATTAATGTTTAAGAAGATGGAAATGCTCATACTCTGATTTGGTTGGTTTACATTCTGCACATTGAATATGTAAATTTAAAAATATCAAAAGCCAGGTATGGGTGGTTCACATCTGTAATCCTAGCAACACAGGAGGCTGAGAGCTGAGGATTGTGGTTCAAAGCCAGCCCTGGTGGAAAGTCTGTGAGACTCTTATCTCCAATAAACCACCAGAAAACTGGAAGTGGCGCTGTAGCTCAAGTGGTAGAGCGCTTGCCTTGAGCTGAAGAGCTGAGGGACAGCGCCCAAGCCCGAAGTTCAAACCCCACAACTGACAAAAAATAAATAAAAATGAAAATGAAAAATCAAGTATTAATAAAAAAAAATCTATGGGGCTGGGAAGGTGGCTCAGTGGTAGAGCGCTTGCCTTGCATGCATGAGGCCCTGGGTTCAATTCCCCAGCACCACATAAGCAAAAAGAAAAAAGCTGGAAATGGTACTGTGGCTCAAGTGGTAGAGCTCTAGCCTTGAGCTGAAGAGCTGAGGGGCAGTGCCCAGGCCCAGAGTTCAGGCCTCACAACCGGACCCCCCTTCCCCCCAAAATCTAGAAGACATGGGTGGTCCCAGAGGGACACGGGTCTGCTGTGACTGAGGAGAACTGGTGAGAATTCAGGATTCTCACCCACGGCAAGCAGAGGAAAGGGGGAACCTGCGGCCCTACCTGGTTCACATGGGGTCTATGCACACAGGCACCCTGTGCGTACATGCACACCCCAGCACACCACGTGCACATGCACACACACATACGTACACTCAGCTCAATGATGGATGGCCAGGTATTATTTCTTTTTCTCTTCTTTTTCTTTGGTGGCAGTTCTGTGGCCTGGGTACCATCCCTGAGCTTTTTTTTTTTGCTCAAGGCTAGTTTCTACCCCTTGAGCCACAACTCCAATTCCAGCTTTTTGCTGGTTAACTGAAGATAAGAGTCTCATGGATTTTCCTGGCCTGGCTGGCTTTGAACTGTGATCTAGGAGGTTTTATTTCTGATTCTTCCTGGCAGCCATCCTAAGACTCATCTGTCAGTGGCAAAGCATGCCGGATGTCCTGTGCATTGTGGATGGTCAACAGCATCTCCAGGAGCCAGCACAAACCTCCCTGCAGCACGCAAACATGCACCTGGAGGTGTCTAAACAGAGTAGCATGTGCAACACGGAGCTGGACAAAACTCCTAATTGGGCATCGAGGACTTAGGGAGGTTTTTCTTCAAGGATTGCCTCTGTGTCCCAGCCCTGCCTGTCTCCCTCCTGACTTAGGCCCAAGTTCCGGTTGGAGCTTGGCGCCAACGCCTGCCCTGGCAGGAAGGCGGCCGGGTCCCCTTGTGCCCCTGGCTCCCAAGGCCACGCTCACCACGCTCATGCAATTCCTCCACTCACTACCTACACGCGTTCTTGATTCTTCTTCCCTCCCCCAGCAGCCTCTGACGCCCTGCTGGTGCCCAGCTGGGGCTGGGACCTGGTGTGAGTCACTGAGCACCGAATATTGCACTACTAAGGCTGAAGCCCGCTCTGCTCTCCCTAATAACAGGCTTTTTTCAGTGCAGTCAGGGCCTTGTGCTCTTGCTTAGCATCTGCCCGTAGCTAGCGCTCTACCACTTGAGCCACAGCCCTGCTGGGTCACTGGAGCTAAGAGTCTCATGGACGTTCCTGCCTGGGCTGGCTGTGAACTGCGATCCTCAGATCTCAGCCTCTTACGTCATGTAAGACACTCACAGTCTTCTGGCGTTCACGGCAGCGGCTTGGACAGCATGGCCTGTGGGGCTGCCCTGCCAGCGGGGCCTTGCCAGGCTGGACACAGATGGAAGGGGAGAGATGCAGTGAGTTCTGGGAAGCAGGCCAGCGGCGGCGGCTGGGCGGGAGGAAGAGGGGTGGGTCTCCCCATGGGACTCTGCCCCTGAGGCTGTCCCCGAGTAGCCCTGTTTGGTGGTGTGTGGCAGAGCAGGCCCTTGAATCTCACCACGCAGCCATTCTGTTTTCCTGATACATGTCCTGTCCTCACGGGGGAGGGGGTGACGTGGGGGGAAGGGGAAGGGCCTCAAGAAACAGCAGGCTCCTCCTCAAGAGTTCTGTGGCTCTTAATAGAGATGCAAGGGGAAAACCCACTCAGGGAATCAAATGAGCATCAAAGAGCAGTGTTTCGCTAGGATTAAAGGTGACCCTTCAGTGCCTGGAATTCTCAAAGTTCAAGGGGGAGATTTAAGGTCTCAAGTTGAAGTTGTGGGCTAGTTACTGCCAGTACAGAAAGGCAAAGTGGCAAAGTCAAGATGTCACCTTCCCTCATCCCCTGCAATCCAGAAAGGCGTCAACTGGCATGCGCCGTCGGGCCACCACGCATGGTACTTGCTAAAATTTCTAACACGTCATGGCCTATTTAGTTGGAGCATTCACTGAAGAATTAAGGCTCCGTAAAAGAAGGGTTTGGTTTGTTCACAAGCGTAAGCAGCTTGTGAAAGCCTTTCTTTTCCTATGACTACAAATTCCAGCTTTTAATTCCCATATAAGGAATGCTGGGAGCTAGTCATTAGCACAAATTAAACCTGCCGCGCCACGCTCCCGGGTCGGTCCTCACGCAGCAATCTAGGGCCGGCGTCTCTTTGAAGGTGACCCTGACCCCCTCCTGCAATGACGTCAGGGTGGGAAACTGTGGGGGGGGGCTGTGGGCATAAGCCAGGCAGGTGATGAGAGGGGAGGGCCCTGGGGCCCTCTGGAAAGGTCCAGAACTATCCGGAGAGATGATGAAGTTTCTGTAAGCCAAGGGCCCTCTCAAGGCCTGCGTCACAGGCACGCTTCCTGATGGAGAGGGCAGGCGGTGGGCGTGCTGGGAGGGCGGAAGGGAAGCAGGTGTGGGAGGAAGGGTGTGTGTGTGTGGGTGTGAGTGTGTGTGATGTGGTTTTATTTTACATCCTTAAAATAGACATTGAAAGAAAGGCGCTTCAGAGAAACACCCTGGTACCTGGTAAGGTATTAACCAGGTTATTTTGGGATATCGATTACATTGCCATTATAATAACTTGGTTGCTAGGAGCTCAGAGGCCAGCTCAAGAGGAAGATAGGATTTGCTCTTAAGCAACGTCGTACATGGTCAGGGGGAGCCATTTGTGTGTCCGTGGTCTGGGGGTTCCCTTTGGGGTAAGTACTGCTCTCCCCGCACCAGGGGGCAGCGGAGGACCTACCGGGTTGTTGTTGGTCTTCCCCGCCAGGATGACACGGGCTTTGACCTTGTTCATGTTGAAGTTCTTCAAGTAGGCCTCATAGATCTTCTTGGCGAGTGACTTGAGATCCGCGGCCTCCGACCCTTCTGCGTCATGCTCGCAGGTAAGGATTTCTGCCTTCAGCTTTGCTTTCTCAGATCTCGGCATTCGCCCAAAACGAATTGCTGTTGGGGGAAGAGCGAGGTGGGGACAGTGGAGACATATAGCGATGAGCAAGGTGGAGGGAGGCCCTGGACCGCAAGGAAGTCCCACAGGACTCAGCCGCCAGCACCCTGCTCCTGAGGGACAAGAGGAAAGCCCCATCGCAAGCAATGCCAGCCTTCTCTAGCAGGTTAAAATAAGAGCTCACCTGCCATGGGGGAGCTACAGGCCTGGGAGCCGAGGGGGCCCCAGGAACTTCGGGATGGCCGGTGTATGCACTGTATGGTAATGCTGGTTTTCTTTTCCCACCCCTCCTGAATAAAGCACTCATTTTAAGTTTACCTCTATGCAGGAAGGGGCTTGGCTGAATACAAGGTAACTCATAGGATGGCAAATGTTTGAGATACCACACCGTTCAAACATGGTCTCCTGCCATCCAATGGGCTGGTTTCCTTGTTCTGTTGTTGTTTTGTGCCCAGCCTGGGCCTGGGTGCTATCCTGGGCTTTTTATGCTCAAGGCTAGCGCTCTACCACTTGAGCCACAGCGCCACCGCTGGCTTTCCTTTGGCAGTTTATTGGAGGTTACCTGGCTTTTTAACCTGGGCTGGCTTCAAACTGCGATCCTCAGACCCCAGCCTCCTGAGTAGCTAGGATTACAGGTGCAAGCTGCTGGTGTCCAGCCGCCATTTGATTTTTTAGCTGGTTAATTGGAGATAGGCTGGCCTCAACCTCAGATCTCAGCCTTCTGAGTGGTTAGGACATGAGCTACTGGGCCTGGGGGGCTGGGACCTCTGACAGAAAAGTGTTACTATGAGGCTTCTAACCACAGCCCAACGGTGACCTGGCTATGGGTTCCTTGGCTTTTCTGGTCAGAGGAGGACCTCTGGGTTAAATGTGGCTGAACAAGGAAGGTAAACTGAGGACCGGAGCAGGACGCCACGCCGGGCAGCCTTACCTACCGTTGTGCGACATCCCGACAGACAGGCACTTGTGGAAGCGGCAGTACTGGCACTTATTTCGGTTCTTCTTCTGAATCTTGCAGCTGCGGTCACACCTGTCATACACCAGCTTCAGCCGGATGGTTCGCCGAAAGAAGCCCTGGGAGATTAGCACCATTTATGAGGGACATGGACACCAGTGACTCCTCCTAACAGTTGACTTCAGCTTTCTTGGGCCCATTTGTTGTTTCTTCTTCAATTAACTACATTTAGAGAGTGGCAGTTTTGCCAGGTGCCGGTGGCTCATGCCTGTCATCCTAGCTACTCAGGAGGCTGAGTTCTGAGGATTGCGGTTCAAAGCCAGCTTGGGCAGGAAAGTCTGTGAGACTTACCTCCAATAAAAACCACTAGAAAACCGGAAGTGGAGCTGTGGCTTAAGCGGTAGAGCGCTCACCTTAAGCTGAAGAGCACAAGGACAGTGCCCAGGCCCAGAGTTCAAGCCCCATGACCGGAAAAAAAAAAAAAAAAAAGAAAACTTGAGATGATGAGCTGGTGGCCCACGACTGTCATCCTAGACACTCAGGAGGCTGAGATCTGAGGATCACAGTTTGAAGCCAGTCCAGGCAGAAAAGTCTGTGAGACTCTGATCTCCAATAAACTGTTAAAGGAAAGCCGGTGGTGGAGCTGTGGCTCAAGTGGAAGAGTGCCAGCCCTGAGTAGAAAAAGCTAAGGGTCAGCACCCAGGAGGCCCTGAGTTCAAGACCCAGTACTGGCACAGGAAAAAAAAAGAGTGTATGTTGACTTTGGGTCCTTTCCTTTTTAGTTCTTGCTGACGTGTACGTGTGGCGGGAGGTGGGAAGGACTTACACTCACTCGGCTTATGGTGACTCTGGGTCCTTTCCTTTTTAGTTCTTGCTGATGTGTGCGTGTGGTGGGAGGTGGGAAGGACTTACACTCACTCGGCTAATGTGCTTATGGCTGGTACTCTACCACCGGAGCCATGCCCCCATCCTTGATTTTCTTTTAAAGGACACATTTCTATCAGTCGCTTACAACATACAGCAGAGTGATCTGCCTTAGACTCCAGAGAGAGAGAGAGAGAGAGAGAGAGAGAGAGAGAGGAGTTAGCCGGCACAGACAGAGGTCGGTTTCTGGGCCCTTCTGCAGAGACCTCGTGATGGCAGCCACCCTCGAGTCAGGTCCAAGCGCCCGGCGCAGTGGGCCCCTCCCCCAGGGGCCCCGCACCTTGCAGCCTTCACACGCGTGGACTCCGTAGTGGTAGCCCGAGGCCTTGTCTCCACAGATCCGACACTCGATGTTCAGTGCTCCACTCGGGGGCTCATCCGTGCTGCCAGGCACGGCAGGGCAGGAGACTGACGAGGGACTGGAAGCTGGAGAGAGGGTGTCTATAGGCAGAAGAAGAGAACATGGACAATCCCAGATGCCCTGCCTAGATCCGAAGCAACCTTTAAGGAGATGATGGGGGGAGAGCGTCTGCTCACGAGCAGGACCTGTCCTGCATCTCCTCTCCCTAATCAGGCTCTCTTGTGCCCTGACTACCATGATGCTGGGATCCCTCAGCTCCCAGGCCCCTGTTTACACCCACTGGCCAGTGTCCTGAGTTCTGGTTCTGCACACAGCCTGTCTTACTAGACCCTCACCATGCTCCACACACCCTACACAGAACTCTGCTGTTTTGTTTGCTTGCTTGCTTCCAGGTCTTCTGCAACTGTTAACTCAGTGAATGGTACCAGAACACAGGCCAGGGGTGGTAGTGCACACCTGTACTTCTAGCTCTTGGGAGGCTAAGGTGGGAGGACTGTGACTATGAGGTCAACCTGGACTACATACTGAGACTGCATCTCCAAAGCTGGAAAGATTCAGGCAACATCCAAAGCATTGTCCATAGAGGAAGAAAAGAAAATAACAAAAAATACAAACTTTCTGTAAGAATAAGAAAAGGCAAGACAAATACTGCAGGCCCACACCTGTAATCCTCTCTGCATACAAGGCTGAGATCTGAGGACTGAGGCTCAAAGCCAGCCCAGGCAGACAGATGAGAGATGTTAACACTTCCTCCAATAGCTGACAGAGCAAATTGATGGAACACAAAGGATATGAATGACTTGAAGCATGGTAATTACCAATTTGATCTAATTAATATCCACAGAACACTGCCCAGCACCTACTGACACATTCTGCCTGTGGCAAACCCTATTCCTGGCCCTCAGACAGCAATGAATTCTTCCTAAAGCTGAGATATCAGTCCAGGAAGAATGTCTCTGACATCCACAGAACTAAGTGATAAGTCAGCAACATAAATGTAGCTGTGAAATCCTCAAATATTTGGAAAGTCAAACACAAATTTTAACTCACAGATTAAAAATCAAAAGATAAGTTATTAAGTATTTTGAACTGAATACAAATATAAGTTGTATCCCAGTGCCTCATGGCTGTAATCCTAGCTACTTGAGAGGCTGAGATCTGGAAGGTAGTAGATCAAAACCAGATGGAAAGAAAAGTCCAAGAGACTCCATCTCCAAAATAACTAGCAAAAAGCAGAGCTGGATACATGGCTCAAGTGGTATATGAGAGTGATCAAGAAAGATTTTTCATGGGAATGCAAGGTTGGCTTAATCTTCATAAACTATCATCCATGATATTACCAAATTAAAAATGCAAAATATTTAGATCACCTTATTAGATGCATTAAAAAGTATTTCTTAAAATCAAACATCAATGCCTGAATTAAAATTAAAAAAAAAAGCCTGGACAGAAAAATCTGTGAGACTCCACCTCCAAAATAGCACAAAGCAGTGCCAGAGGTGCGGCTCCTGTGTTAGAATACCAGTTGACAAGCAAGTCAGGTGAGCTTGAGGGCCTAAGTAGTTAAAAAACCAAACCAAACAAAAAGCAACTTAAAAAAAAGACATGCATCTTGAAAAGAAGAAGTAAAAGAGGGTCCCTGCAGCAAACAATCTGATTACAGAACTTCTCAAAGAATCTCTACAAAGCTGCTGCATGAATTAGTGCCTTGAGCAAGGGCACAGGCAAGATACTAGATTATTGTCTAAAATCGATTTTAGTTCTCTGTGTGTAGCCATAGATGATGAAAAGTTAAAATGTGTTTCTGTGCAAGAGAAACCAGGGCAGGTGTTCCTACAGCGACCCATGTGTGTGAGCTTTCCCGAGGCTCTATCCATCACAGCCGAAGACTGGCAGTGATGCCAGTGTTCGTTAACAGGTGCCTACATAAGACACCAGCAGTCTAAAAAAAGAAAGAAATATCCAACCCTTGGGGCTGGAGGTGTGGCTCATTTGGTAGAGCTCTAGCCAATGAGCAAAAACATCAGGTATCAAGTCTGAGCCCCAGTCTGGGACACAAAGAAAAAAGAAGAAATCAAATACCAATGGTCCACCCAGACTGTAATAACCGAGTGGATTACCGAGGTGTGCCACCGAGCACACAGATCTCAGCCAAATAAAAGAGACCAGCTAGAACACAAGCTTACATTTATATAAAGCCCTAGAGAAAATACAGTAAGCAGGAGGGACAGAAAGCAGACTTGTGGCTATGGGGGAGACAGGGTAGCTGAGGGCAGGAAGAAGGTTTACCCAAGATACATGTAACTTCTGGACTGATGGACACTCTTGAGTGTGATGATGGTTTCACAGGTGTGTGCATATGTGTGTGCACACACCAGATTACTATATTTTTACTTGTGCCAGTATTAGGGCTTGTGCCAGTATCAGGACCTAGCTGCGCTTCCTTAGCTTTTTGATCAAGGCTGGTACTTTACCACTTCAGCCACATCTCCACTTCCAGAAATGTTTTATTGTTGGTTAATTGAAGATGAGTTTCATGGCCTTTCCAGGCTCACTTCAAACTGATATCCTCAGATCTCAGCCTCCTGAGTAGCTCGGATTACAGGCATGAGCCACCAGCCCCGGGCTACATTAGATTATTATTTGTTGTTGTTGTCAGTAGTGTGGCCTAAATTCTGGGCCTGGGCGCTGTCCCTCAGCCCTTCAGCTCAAGGCTAGTGCTCTACCACTTGAGCCACAGCGCCACTTCCAGCTTTTTCTGCTTATGTGGTGCTGAGGAATCGAACCCAGGGCCTTGTGCATGTGAGGCAAGCGCTCTACCACTGAGCCACCTTCCTGGCCCCAGGTTATTTTTTTTAAAGGTGTAACTTCTTGCTTTCTCAAGGACAACCCTGTTAGTGGAGGGCTTTCCAGGAAGTAGCACTCACCTGTGATGACAGAGCCATCTGAGCTTGGACCGCTTCCTAAGTACTGATAATCTGTGAAACTGAAGCTTCCAGAACTTTCTTCACCAATAGACTGCGAAATCTCTTGAATGCTTCCCATCTCTTGTAGGAACTCCTCAGACAATGGGCTTTCTAGGTCCTCTGTCTCCAGCGGAGAGAGAGGGCAGATCAGGCTTTCTGTGTCCACCATGATGCCGATGGAGCCGGTCCTCTGTGGAGGGAGAGACACCATGTGTGAGCGGACAGGCAAGAGCGCTCATTCGTGTTCTTAAACGAAAGCATCCATGTGTGTGTGTGTGTGTGTGTGAGCATGTGCACATGGGTGCACACACATGTACCCAAACAGAAGCTTGAACTCAGGGCTCTGGTGCTGACCCTTAGCTTTTTCACTCAAAGGCTGGCATTCCACCACTTCTGGCTTTTAGTGGTTAATTGGAGATAAAGAGTCTCACAGACTTTCCTGTCTGGGCTGGCTTCGAACCACGATCCTCAGATCTTAGCCTCCCGAGGAGCCGGATCATAGGTGTGAGCCACCAGCATCCAGCTGACAGCCGCATTTGTGTTGAAGATGCACCTGCACTCCCCATGTAAGAGCTAATGGGGCTGACTATCTTTTCTAGGCTTAACTCTTGAGATGCACACTAAAAAAAGAAATCCCAAAGCATCTCTAAACAACGCCATGAGGGAGAAGCCAGAGTGGTCGGGCTGGGGCCGTGTGCTCCTGGCTGGCTGTACACACCTCTGACATGGGGGTGTTGAGACCCAGCCAGAGACAGAAACCCAGAGCCCCCAATCAGGGGGGCCACCTGTGGGAGCCACCCGTCAAACCCGTGCTGGAGGGCGGAGGAGTGAGGAGCCTGCAGGAAGGCCTGTGGACCAGGGGAGGGCAGGGGCCTTGGGAACAGAGCGGCCTGTGCAAAGGCCTGGGAACACGTGCCAGCAAAAAGAACAGGAAGGGAGGGCTGCAGCGAGCTGGCAGCTTCACAGGGCTCAGCCAAGGGGGGCCGGGAGGCCATGGCCCAGACTGAGGGGCCAGGGAGAAGAGAGCAGAGCACACAGCAAGTGTGCTCATCCTCTACCTCCTTACCCACAAGGCCGTGGACGTTGTATACTCTCTGTTGTTAGTGGGGTTTGGGAGACCTGAGAAGGCGGCTTGCAGACAGGGCTGGACATGAATGAGCAGACAAGTGGTCAGTTACTCTCCACAGGCGACAGGGTAGCATGGTGGTCCTTCCTGTGTTGGTGTGTGTGTGTGTGTGCGTGCCAGTGCTGGGACTTGAACTCGGTGCCTTAGCTTGGCTTTTTTTGATCAATGCTGGAAATAAAAGTCTCACAGATATTTCTATCCAGGCTGGCTTTGACCTGCAATCCTTAGAACTCAGCTTCCTAGGGTTACAGGTGTGAGCTACCGGCACCCGGCTCACCAGACTCTCACTCGGTTATTTTCCATGACTTTCTGTGACCTCCAGAGTGGGCCCACCGCGGCCGTGGGGGCTGGGCCCCGGGGCTGTGCACTGGCCGCGCCCCTCCCCCATAGCAATGCCCTGGTAGGCCAGCCTGGGCTGCCTTTCCCCTGGCTGCCGTTTTAAACAATTGTTTTGGCACGACAGGAGTTTTGAACTGGGAACTCATGCTTGCTTAGTAGATGCTCTACCACTGAGCCATGCCACTGGCCCTTTCTGCACTGGATATTTTTTGAGATAGGGTCTTCCTTCCTCTCTGGGCACATACCATACCCTGCCTGTTTTAGGCTTCCTGTGGTGGCTGGGGGGATGGACACACACTCCACCAGTTCTAGCCAGCCTGGGCTGGCCTCCACCTGCGTTCCTCACGCTCTCAGGCTTCTGACCAGTCGGGATGTCTTCCCTGGCCCTGCTTGTAGCCCACCTCTCTGAGCCCAGCTAGGCGACATTTAGCTTCTGGAACTATTTCCTATCTGAAAATGGTTACACTGAGCCCATGGGTCAGAAGAGGTAAGCGCTGACCCCAACCCTCAGGTCAGTGCAAGGTAGCTCTCCTCACGCTAGGGCAGAACACAACAATGTTCTGTTGGAACGAAGAATACTTTCCAAAGCAAATGTTCACCCATCAAATGCATTTATGTAACAACACCTTTAAGGGCAGTGGTAATTGCTTTCTTCCCTGAGTGCTGCATGTCATCCTAGCTCCTCAGGAGGAGGAGATCTGAGGATCTTGATTCGAGGTCAGCCCCAGTAGGAAGGTATGTGAGACTCTCATCTCCAATTAACCACCAAAGAGCTGAAAGTAGAGCTGTGGCTCAAATAGTAGAGTTGCAACCTTAAGGGGAAAAGCCCTCCTAGCAAAACATCAAAGCACAAAAACATACCACTTTTCTCAAGAAAGGAAAAATAAAAGGTAAAATTCGCACATCTTTGAGAAATTCACCTCTCACACTTGGAATTCTGATCATTTTCACAGGTGACAAAAACACACAAGGCTGAATAATATAGAACGGTAACTTTTTGTAGGGTGCTTAAGACTGTCTATTACTGTAAGTAAATCTATTAACGTAAATCTGTGCATTTTTGTTTGTTTTGTGCAAGGCTGGTGCTGGGGATCGAATGCGGGACCTTGTACATGATGAACATGCGGTGTACACAGAGCCTCAGTCCTGGCCCCTCCTTTTTTTTGTCAATTATGGGCTTGAACTCAGGGCCTGGTCACTTGTTCACATTCCCTGAGCTTTTGTGCTCAAGACTAGCACTCTACCACTCTGAGCCACAGCTTCACTTCCCATTTTCTGGTGGCTCACTGGAGGTAAGAGTTGCCCAGGCTGACTGCAAACCATAATCCTCAGATCTCAGCCTCCTAAGTAGCTAGGATTATGGGCATGAACCCCCAGCACCTGGCCCAGCCCCCTCATTCTATCATATTTTACTCTGCATTATCTCTGAAGGAAGATTTCTTCAAAGGCAAGCAAGATAATGGGGTAATGAGCATGATGCAATTTATTATTATTGTTATTGTTATTATATATTCTACCAGGAACCACAAGTTCAAAAGCCACAGTCATTAACTCACTCCATCAGCCACAAAGTTCATCTTTGTGCAAGCCGACAGCTGGCTAGAGGTTACCAGACCGATGGGGCTGAGGCCATGCCCCGTGTCCCAGTTACAAATGCACATGGCGGTGAGAGCTCTGGTCCGGCAGCCAGGAGCCTCCAGAGCCCAGGAAGATCCCCTCGCTCTCCTTCTGTACCTCAGAGTGTTTTGGGATCCTATCATTTTCTTTTGCAGTTGTTTTGAAAGAACCACGAGATTAACTTAGGCAAGCTGGGCTCGCCATTCAGGAGCTAAGCAAACAAAGCCCCTACCAGGAGTGAGGCAGTCTGGACTTGAACTCTGGCTGGAGGGATGGGCTCTCTGCGATCCCCAGTACATTGGCCTGCTCCTTCCCGGAGTGCAGATAAGAAGGCTTCCCTTTGCCCGAGTCCCCCAGAGAGATAGCAGAGGTCACACGGGCACACCCCAGCCTGCATGCCCCAGGTTCCTAGCAGGCTCTAGCTTTGGACTCTTCCCCATCTAGAAGCTTCTGGTCAGGGCAAGCCCGACACCTACAAGCCACTGCCATTGACTGGTTCATCAAGAAGGCCAGCCAATTGTGGGGCCCTATGCTCCAAATGCCCCAGAGGACAAGCTTTCTTTGAAGCTCCCATCTGACTCTGAATCTCTGTTTTCAGTTCTTAGTAGTTGAACATTTGACAATGAAAATACTCCTCAGGGAACCAAGTGGTAGATGGTTTGAAAACCCTAGAACATTAAACAAAACATAAGAATGTTAAATAAACAGGAAACAAGCCAGGTACCAATAGCTCACACCCGTAATCCTCGCCACTCAGGAAGTGGAGATCTGGGGATTGTGGTTCGAAGATGGCCTAGGCAGAGGAGTCCATGAAACTTTCTCCAGTTAACCAGAAAAAGGATGGGAATGGAGCTGTGACACATGGCACAGTGGCAAAGTGCCAGCCTTGAGGGGAAAAGCTAAGGAACAACACCTTGGTCCTGGAGACACACAGACACACACACGCACACGCACGCACACGCACACACACGCACACGTACACGCAAGAAAAGAAAAACAGGCATAGAATTTTGAGTGCTTTGTGTGGAGATGGAGGAGAATGCTGAAGGAATCTCTCATTCCCTGATCACCTGTGATACTCAAACGCTGAATGACACATTGCCAGCTCCTAGCTGCGTGACTAGTAGGAAGGTTAGGCTGAGTAGCTCACGGCAGGAGTGCTTACCCAGTAAAGCCACAGGAACCCCCGTGCTGGTGCACCCCTACGCAAAGGGGGTGACGTAGCTTCCTGTGCATCTCCCCGGCGAGGCTGCGTGCTGGCTAAGGGGGCCTGAACGCTCACCTCCGGGACAGCCAGCTCCCACCGCTGGAGCAGGGCCTGCGTCCCCTCCTGTCATTTACGTTTTCAGTCTATATTAATGATGCCACAGGTTTCCTCGTGGTATTTCCCCTGTACATAGACTGTCCGCACTCCCCCACTATTCACAGTTTCTTGGGTCCAGAAGTCATTTCCTAAATGCTGTCTGAAGTAACTTTTTTTTTTTAATCATTTCTTACTTACAAGGGAGCTTGACTTTGTCCCAACGATGCCGACAGTTCTTTATGCTGAGTTATCAGCGCAGTGAGGCAAGAAGCAGGGGACTTGAACTTGAGTTTCCACAGAGTATGAATAACTCCAGGCCTTCGGAATCTTAACTCCTCTCCCCTGTATCTTCTCTATAATCCCTTTCACTGCCGTGCCCAGAGATGGGAAATCTGTTGGGTTACTTTTTTTCTGGCTGCAGGTGGAAGGGATTTATGGGAGTGGTTTGGAGTTCTGTGCCAGCAGGCCGAGGGTCTTTCTCTTTTCCACCAGTCCTAATCCACTACCTTGTCAGAATCTGCAGATTTCTTACAGGTTATATTTCATCCTAGAATGAAGTCTCTGGCTCAGATTGTGGGGCTATGATCTAAAACGTTTCAGAATAAGCAAACAAACAAAAAGGCTAGGAAGCACTCTGTACCTTCACCTAGTACCCAGTGTTCACTGACGCTGATTAATCATTGGCCCACAGGTGGTGTAGAAAATGCCCCGGAAATACATGGTGAACAGCAAGGGCAGAGGGAGACATGAAGAGGCGTGGGGGCTAGGGATTCTAATGAACCGAGGTAAATCCATAACCAATGGTTTGCACATCACCCAGGGTTAACAGAGACTTCTGGAGCTTTCCCAACACCACCAAAGGCATTAAACTTGGGATTCTGTACTTGGAAGAACTGCTTTCATGGGAGAGTGGCTGGCCCAAGGTGGCACAGAGCGGCTGTGAATCTCCACTGCAGCTTTCGAGACACCAAGGGCTCCCACCCTGCGTAAGATCTGCCCGCGTTTTCCCTGGACTTACTGCTTCCAGTTTGAACCAAGCCTTGCTTTTTCCTCTCCTGAAAGTTTGTAGTTATTGTTCTCAGTGCCATTTTACCTTGGGGCGGTGCTGGCAGAACAGAGCAACGCTGGCCGTGGGGACGTCCTGCCTGCGTGCGGTCATCAAACCCGAGCACGCTGTGACGCTGCCACAGAAGCAGGAAGTCCACTGAACTGCCATGTGGACTTGTCATTCAGCGTTGATCAGGGCAGACAACACGCAGCCACCGAGAGAGCACTGGGACGATCAGCAGCAGGGGCCAGGGAAGCTGTTAACTGTCTGCGGTCCTGCCACACAACGAGGGGGCATTCCCTAAGACGGAGGACCTGGGCACCCAACAGAGCCTCCTGGAGAGGCAGCGCTTATAAGGCTGAGCTTTACAAGCCACAGGGTTCAACCGATGGTCCCTTTGGAGATGGATGACTATGAGGTATGAAACACAGACAAGTATTTGCCTGAACAAAAGGCGGAGACCAAAGACAGAAAGCCTAACTAAGCTCTGAAGGGCCCACAGACCAGGGCTCTGGGAAGGAAGGGACTGGCAGGACGAAGAGATGGGGGAAACATACTATTGATCGATTGATCGATCGTTTGCTCTACCTATCCATCCATCCTAGCAGCTGAGAGCACACCATCCACAACATCACACACACACATGTTCCTGCGGTTCTCCAGCGGCAGGGGCCGGTCCACAGAGGAGAAAGGCAGAGGCTCAGAGAGGAAAGATGCTTACCCCACGAGAAAGTAAGAGACACACGTCAGCGAGTGGTGGAGAGTGCCGTGTGGCAGGTGCAGCATCCTGGAGGGCCAGGCGGGCGCTGAAGGACAGGGGATGAAGACGGCGCCTACGTGGTAACCAGACTCAGCAGGAGGCGCAGCAGAAAGCAGGGTAAAGGGCCTGGCGCACTCACACGCACGGCCAGCACGTCACTGGCTACGTAGGTGAAAGTGGCTGGAAAATCTACTCTAAGAGTTGTGTCACCTGTGCGAGATTGCATAACCAACAGCCTCAAACCCAGCCGCTTAAAACCACAGTCACTTCATTTGTTCCCAATTCTGTGGGAAAGTCCCGGCCAGCTGGACGGCGCTGGGCAGGGCGCGTCTTCTGCTGGTGCAGCCTGTGAATGCAGCGCTGTGGTCACTTGGAGATCCCCCAGGGTCTGTCGGTCCAAGATGGCTCCAGCTGCCCACCTGGGGGGTGGGCACGGCTCCTGGCTGGCCCTTTCTCACAAAGTGGCCATCTTACTGTGGGCAAGGTTTCCTCAAGAGGCAGCAGGACCCGAAGCGGGTGAGTGTGGGGACCACAGGCCTCTTCCACTAGGCCTTGCTTGTTAAGTTACACAACATCACTTCTGCCATGCTCCATGCATCAAAGCAGGTGAACTGGAGAACCTGTGGCCGTTTGCAGGGCAGCACAGCAGAAACAGCGCGAGGATAGGTGTCCCTGCTGGAGCAGGAGGGGTCATGGCCGCTGTGGTGGTATTTTGGGGTGCACCACATTTAGACTGACTCTGCTATCAACCACTCAGGAGTCGGCATTAGAACATCTGGAGGCAGGGTGGGATTAAGCTGCAAAGGACACAAGGCCAGACGCCGCGCCCTCCTGGAGAAGGAAGCCCATCCTGGAGAGGGTAGCCCATCCTCCAAGTGCGGCAGCTTCCTGCAGCGGAGGCGGGAGGCGGGAGACTGGGGACAGAGAGCTGGTGGCCTCAGACATTTGGGACAGAGCCCAGGAGGACGTTTCTTCCCTGGCTCAGGTAAACGGTGGAAGAACTGGCATCGGGGACACAAACACAACAGCTCTTTCCAGGCAGACACCGAGAGATGACCAAGGAGTTCCGAACCGACACGCAGGTTCAGCCCACGCACCTCTGCCCTGTCTGTCTCTTTGAGGTACTGGAGTTTGAACTCAGGGCCTCATGCTTACAAGACAGATGCTGGGCCATGGAACCCTTTTTTGCACTGGTGATTTTGAGTAGAGTGCTGCTTTTGACCCGGGGTGGGAGCTGGACTGTGATCCTCCTATGTTAGGCTTCCCACAGTAGCTGGGGTGACAGGCCTGTGCCCCCTTCTTCCACTGAGATGGCATGTTGCAAACTCTTTTCCCTGGCCTGGCTTGGAACCGCAATCCTCCCAACTGCAGTCTTTCATGTAGCTAGAATGACAGGTGCGAGCCTCCCCAACCCCTGTGTCTGGCTCGCCTGTCCCCACCTCTGAGTGACGTTCCCAGAAGCCACAGCTAGGAGGCGCAAGACCATCGTCGGGGAAGGCAGCCGTGGCACAGGGGTTGCACTGCCAGTGAGGACCCTCGGACCCGGCCCCACACGAGCCAGAGTAAAGTGAGAAAAGTCCCTGTGCCCGCCCGTGTCCACCTCCAGGGAAGCCCAGACTCAAAGGAACTTTTCACCAGACCAAGTAACCAGGCATGCACAAAGACAGCCACTGTGCCCTGCAGTCATGCGTGGCCGCGGCCTGCATTCTAAAGCTCCTCCTGGGTTTGTGGTTCTGGGAGTTGATGGAGAGATGGGTCCTTTTTTAAACCTTTTCATCCTGAGCTTTCTCCTTCCATATTTAGATAAAGCCAATGGATCTGTACATAGCTGGACAGATGCGCTGTGAATCTGTGGCCCTCACGGAGACTAGAGCTTACCAGGCAACCCCAAGGCAGCCGTTCTTGCTCTATTACTAAGCTACATGGCGTCAGGGTGACCAGCAGGGCTCTGGTGACCACAGGGCAGACGACAACACTCCGGAAAAGAGCAGAAGGGATGTGATGCTTGCTCAGCTGGTGCTCTCCCACTGGAGCCATGCCACCAGCCCAGATTTTGCTGGTTAATTGGGGATTAGAGTCTCGTAGAGTTTTCTTTCCGGTTGTGGGGCCTGAACTCTGGGCCTGGGCGCTGTCCCTCAGCTCTTCAGCTCAAGGCTAGCGCTCTACCACTTGAGCCACAGCGCCACTTCCAGCTTTTTTCTTTTTGCTTATGTGGTGCTGAGGAATCAAACCCAGGGCCTCATGCATGCAAGGCAAGCACTCTACCACTGAGCCACCTTCCTAGCCCCCTCGTAGAGTTTTCTGCCAGGCTGCCTTCCAACTGAGATCCTCCAGATGTCAGCCTCCCGAGTAACTAGGATTACAGGGGCTTGTGACTGGTGCCCAGCAAAGTGTCTGTTTCAAAAAGGAATATTCAGAAGACACAGAAGATACAGTCATAAACTTAACAGAGGATTGAAGACAAGGCTGTAAAGGTGCCAAAAGTAGGGGGTAAGGAGTGACAGAAAATATGAGATTAAAGTAAGACAGGTCCAGACTGGGTCTCATTTTAGGAGGAGAGGCGCAGACACAGAGCAGCAGATACCATTCCCTGGGACTCCAGGAAAACTTTCCAGACAGGAGGCTTGGAATCCCCTTGGGGTGGGGGGGTGGGGGTGGGGTAAAGATCGCCAAAGTAGACAGGAGGAACTCAGACACAGAAAGGCCTCCAGGGAGATTCCAGGACAGCTTGTGACCAAGCAAGACCCTCCAAGCCTTCAGAGAGGAAAAAGACATGCCACATGCTAAAATCAAATATCAGACAACTATGGGATTTCTCAGCAGGAACATAAAACAAACAAAAAAAACGCTGGAGAAAAATGCTGTTGGGCCGGGCGCTGGTGGCTCACACCTGTAATCCTAGCTACTCAGGAGACTGAGATCTGAGGATCGCAGTTCAAAGCCAGCCCGGGCAGGAGAGACCGTGAGACTCCTATCTCCAATAAACCACCAGAAAACCGGAAGTGGCGCTGTAGCTCAAGTGGTAGAGCGCTCGCCTTGAGCTGAAGAGCTGAGGGACAGTGCCCAGGCCCAGAGTTCAAGTCCCACGACCGACAAAAAAAAAAAAAAAGGAAAGAAAAATGCTGTTGGGGCTGGGGGTGGTGCGGTAGCTCACCCAAGCCTGTCATCCCCACTGCACGGGACAGGGATCGAGAGATTCTCAGTTTGGGGCCAGCCCAGGTAAACAAGTTAGTGAGACTCCATCTCCATAGATAAGCTAATGTGGTGGTATGTGCCTGTAACCCCAGCTATGCAGGAAGTATAGATAGGAGGATCACAGTCTGAGGTTGTCTTGGGTTAAAACAACTACAGCAACACACACAGCAGGCAACTCCACTGAACAGGAGCTACAGCAACCATGGGCTGGGGTGTGGCTCACGTGGTAGAGCACACGGCTAGCAAGGGAGGGCTCCTAGCCCAGACCCCAATGCAGCCAGCAGGGTCTCCACAGGGTTCCCGGCTCCCTTCGGTGGTAGCTCGTGTCCCCCACCCGTTGGGAGTAATTATCGGTGAACATGGTACTCAGGACATCCTGCAGGGATGAAGGTTCGCATTTCTTCTCAGGAAGACCCAACACCCCAGGAAGAAGACCCATGGA